GAACGGTATGTGGAATGAAGTGGGCGGGCATCGGGAGGCCACTATGGCACGGGGCAAGCACTATGGGCAGTCTATCTGAAGTGTACCTGGCATATAAGACGACCCCCCACTTGGAGGCATATTTCTCAGGGCCAAAAAATCGTCTTATACGCCGGCAAATACGGTACATGATTTTTAAAAATCCAAAGGACATGTACTGATTTATATTTTAAAATGAATTTAAAGTACTAAAAGTACATGTAGTCAAATTAAAAGTGGAAACTTATAGTAGTTTATTCTTTAGACCTGATCTTCCTCCTTTTTGGTTTGGATTGTAAATATAGAAAGCAAGGTTCTTAGCTTCCAGTCACAAAGGTAATTTCTCAATGTTTAACAGATTTATTCAAAAGAGAGCTAATTGTGTCACAAGGAAATTTTTACTAGAACCTAAATTTCTGTTCCTCTGACGAGTCTTGAATGCATATTGAAATGACTTCAGAGGTGGACTTTTTAAAAAATTGATCTACAAATGTCTTGAAGCATTCACACTCAATCCTGAAACATATTATGATTTAGGAAGTGACGTGCCACATGCTTGCCAACCCCATTCTGGTAGTTAAAAACTGACTTTGGTATTGAATGCTAAAAAAACTGAGCTATATACTGTTTTATGAAGCTTTTCTAAGATCTCATGAATAAATTTTCTCAAATAATTTTTTATTTATATTTTATTAATAATATCAAGAAATTATACTAATTTCTTGATGTAAAATTGGTATATAACATTATATTAGTTTCAGATGTACAACACAGTAATTTGATCTTTGTATACACTGCAATCACCATAAGTCTAGTTACCATCTGTCACCATATAATTGACCCCCTTTACCAATTTTGCCCAACCCCTTTTTCATCTGATAACCACCAATCAGTTCTCTTTAACTATGTTTTGTTTTTTTAGATTCCACATATAAGTGAAACCATATGGTATTTGTCTTTCTCTGACTTACTTCACTTATCATAATACCCTCAAGATCAGCGGTTCTCAACCTTCCTAATGCCGCGCGACCCCTTAATACAGTTCCTCATGTTGTGGTGACTCCCAACCATCGAATTATTTTCGTTGCTACTCTATAACTGTAATTTTGCTACTGTTATGAATCGTAATGTAAATATCTTTTTGTTTTCCGATGGTCTTAGGAGACCCCTGTGAAATGGTCGTTCGACCCCCAAAGGGGTCGCAACCCACAGGTTGAGAACCGCTGCTCAAGATCCACCCATGTTGTTGCAAATAGCAAGATTTCCTTGTGTATATATTGGGGGTGCCCAAAAACATGTATACAAGTGGACACTTTGGTAAACGTTGCTCAAGCAGTAGTCTGCCATAATCAGAAGTGTCTGGGTGCTGATGGTAACCACTTTGAACACCCCTTGTAATTGCAGAAGTCAAACATGACTTGTATTCATCTTTTGGTATCAGTATATGCTGAGTATTATAATTTTAATACAGTTTTCCTTTCTTAAAATGTGTATACATTTTTTTGGCACCCTCTGTATATACACACATTTTCTTTATCCATTTATCCATCAATAGGTTGTTTCCATATCTTGGCTACTGTAAATAATGCTGCAATGATCATAAGGGTGTATACATCTTTTTGAATTGGTATTTTCAGGGGTTTTTTCCTCTTTCAGGTAAAGACTCAGAAGTGGAATAGCTGTATCATATGGCAGTTCTATTTTTAATTTTTTGAAGAACCTCCATACTATTTTCCATAGCGGCTGCACCAATTTACATTCCCACCAACAGGGTACAAGGGTTTCCTTTTTTCCACATCTTCCTCAACATTTGTTACTTCTTGTCTTTTTGAAAATAGCCATTCTAACAGATGGGAGGGGATATCTCATTGTGGTTTTGATTTGCATGTCCCTAATAATTAGTGATGTTGAACATCTTCTTGTGTGCCCATTGTCGATCTGTATGTCTTTGGAAATATGTCTACTTATAGCCTCTGCCAATTTTTAATTTTTTTTATTAAGTTCTTTATATGTTTTGAATATTAACCCCTTATTGGATATATAATTTGCAAATATTTTCTCCCATTCAGTAGACTGCCTTTTGTTGCTGGTTTACTTTGCTGTGCAGCTCTTTAGTTTGATGTAGTCCCACTCAATTTAATTTTGCTTCTGTTGCCTTTGTTTTTGGAGTCAGATCCAAAAATTCAATGCCAAGATCAATCAAGGGGTTTACTGCCTATGTTTCCTACTAGGAGCTCTATGGTTTCAGACATTACATTCAAGTCTTTAATACATTTTGAGTTTTGTGCATGGTTTACGATAGTAGTCTGGTTTTGTTCTATTGCATGTGGTTGTCTAGTTATCTCAACACAGTTCATTGAAGAGACTGTCTTGTTATAAATTAATCCACCATGTATGCATGGGTTATCTCTGGGCTCTCTATCCAGTTCCATTGATCTATGTATCTGTTTTTACGCAAACACAATACTGTTTTGATTACTAGTATAGCTTTGTAATATAGTTTGAAATCAGGAAGCATACCTCCAACTTCATTCTTTCTCAAGATTGATTTGACTATCTGAGATGTTTTGTGGTTCCATACAAATTTTAGAATTGCTTGTTCTAGTTCTATGAAAAATGCTGTTTGAATTTTGATGGGAATTGCACTGACTCTGCAGATTGCTTTGGGTAATATGGGCATTTTAACAATATTAATTCTTCCTGTCTGTGAGCACGAAGTATCTTTCCATTTCTCTTCAATTCCTTTCACAAATGTCATAGTTTTCAGTGTATAGGTCTTTTAACTCCTTGGTTAAATTTATTGCTAAGTATTTTATTCTTTTTGATGCAATTATAAGTGGGATTTTCTTAATTTCTCTGATAGCTCATTATTAGTGTATAAAACCACAACAGACCTCTGTACATTGATTTTGTGTCCTATGACTTTACTGAATTAACTTATTAATTCTAACAGTTTTTTGCTGGTGTCTTTAGGGTTTTCTATATACAGATATTCCTTGGCTTACGATGGGATTACATCCAATAAACCAATCTTAAATTGATATTACTGTAAATAAAAAATGCATTTAATACACCTAACCTACCATATAGCTTAGCCTAGCTGGTTTCTCCTGAATGCTTATCACTTCTGCACTATCGTAAAGTAAAAAAATTGTAAGTCGAACCATAGTAAGTCAGGGATCATCTGTATAGTATCACGTCATCTGCAAATAATGACAGTTTTACTTCTTCCTTTCCAAATTGGATACATTTTCCTATTCTGGCCTAATTGCCCTGGCTAAGACTTTTAATACTATATTGAATAAAAGTGGCAAGTGAGTAGTATCCTTGTCTTGTTCCTGATCTTAGAGAAAAAGCTTTCAACTTTTCACCATTATGTTACCTATATGGTTTGTCATATATGGCCATTATTATGTTGAGGTGCATTCACTGTATACCCATTTTCTTCAGGGTTTTTTATCATGTTTATCCTTCATTTTGTTAATGTGGTGTATTATGTGGATTGACTTGCAGATGTTGAACCATTCTTGCATCCCTGGAATAAATCCCACTTCATTTCAATCTATTAAATTCAATTTGGTAATACTTTGTTGAAGATTTCTGTATCCAAATTTTCCCAAATATTAAATACAGGCAGATCCTTCACTACTTTTCACTCATCTGCTCACCCCAAATTTGAGCCTCTAAGTCACTTCTTAGCCATAACTAGCTAAATTATTGGGTTGTCGGAAAAGTCAGGACACATTTTTCCAACGAAAAACAAAAATGTCATGACTTTTCTGACAACCCAATAGTTTTCTAAAAATATTTGCCAAGATTAAGTAAAAGGAAAAGTAGAATCAAAGTAATTCTGCTTTTCTGAAGCATTTTCTGGAAACATGGTACTGAAAAGCAGGGCTTAACAGAAGAAATTATCATTTTACAATACCTTGTGGCATTGTATCATTCCATGGCTTTTTATAAGCATGATTTATATTTTAAAATTATTACAATCTCTAAAAAAGCACTTTAGTTCTAGAGTAACCAACAAAAATGATCAATTCAGCATTTTCTACAGAATAGCTTTTTAAAATGAATATATGGATATAATTATTGGACCTCTCTGTGAAATAGAATTCTGCTCCATGTACCACACAGGTGATATAATCTATGAGAAAGCACTCTGTAAAAAATTATTATCCAGAGGAGTGATGACAACAACCCAGTTCCCCATCTGACTCATCAAAGTAATTTTTTGGCTACTGGAAAATCCAGTTTAAAAAAAGATGAAATTTTTAGGAGGTAGGGGGGAGGGTGAAGAAAAAGGATAAGGAATATAGACAGAACAATCTAAGGCAGAGGTTTACTTATTGTTATCTCTCTCTGCCAATACTGATTAGTCAGAGGGCCACCAATTGGAGAATGATTAGTTCCTCCACTACCTTTATTTTCTATGTAAGGGATCCCAATTCAAAGAAGCAACCAACTGCAAAGTGGAATGAATTAACTTTGCAAATCATATTATCCATCTGCCTAATGCACTTCATTTGAACAGAGTTCCTAAGACACTGCATTGCTTTAAATAGTCAAATTTCAAAGCCTGATTATTGCCCACCCTACTAAATAAAAGCATGGGTCCACAGTCTGGCCTGAAGTTCGCATTCCCAGAAGTTCTGTTTACCAGAAGCTCCTTCTGCCCAACTTATAACTCAAACCACATCCCAAATAACATTTTGAAAAGCAGCAATTTTCCTCAATAATTTTATATTCAAATACAGGTAGAACAGAAGAGATAAACACAGCAAAGCAGTACAATATTTATTTACCATCTCCAGCAGCAAAACTTTAGAACCAAGAAACAACCCTTTTGTACAAAGCAATCTTCTTCCCACCCCCAACTGGTTATTGTTTACAAATACAAAGTACACAGAACTGATTTATATGAACAAATTTTAAAACATACATACAGATATATCCCATTCTATAAAGTACTTTACTCAAGTTAAGAAGACTAGTATCACCAAGCCTGTTAAATGAAGATTCTTCCTGTACTGTCTTTCGGGTAAACCACTGATATCTGTATTTATAAAAATCCCCTCCTAGGAAGAATGACTTTAATTTTTCTTCAGTACAGGACAAAAATAAATAAATGTAACCTTGGAAGTTAAAGGAATTTTTAAATATCTCTGAATATAAAGCAAAGAGAAGTTACAACTTTTTAACCCTGCGTGCCACTGCTCTCCCTCTGGCACAGAATGGATGAATTATGCAAAGAAAAGGTGACAGTGGCAACAACAAAAAGGAAAGAAACTCAAATCAGCAAAAAACAGGAAGTTGACAAAATGTGTTTTTAGCGCTGCTGGAGATACCAATGGCACAAGGTCACAGGTCCTTCTTCAATACAATACCTCCAAACTCCAATGAAGCAATATTTGAAAAATATCTTCATTTCCTCCCCAAGTCCACCCTCAAATTATCTGTAAGCCAACACACAGGGAAATTACCCACATTTAGCTACACTGAGGACACACTGCCAATAGGGGTCCTATACACCCATAATGGGATGTCACATTCCACTTCAGTGACATTATCCTGTTCATCTTCAAAGTTGTTCTCTACCAGTGCCTGAGTTCTAGTTCAATGCTTGAACTGTCTGTCCCGGGGGCTGGAGGTACAATGATTGAGAGCCCTCCTTTGGCTCAGTTCAGGGAAGAAAAATAATTGCTCTAGATGTCTATAGCGGACTGTGGTACAAAGCAACCTCTAGACAAACTATTTCTATAACCTTACAAGTAAAGGCTAAACTGTACACTTTGAATAGACAGGAACTAATACATTTTTATAATGTATCCTTTCTTCACCTTAATCTCCTCCAATTCTGGTCTCATAAAGGCTGTTCAATTCTGACCCAGAAACACGATGCTCCCCACGCCCTTGCACACACTTGATTCCTTCACCTGAATGCCTGGCTCCTGTTTCTCCACTAGTTCAACTAACTCTTTTCTAATCATTTTCCAAATCTCAGCTCAAGAATTTGGTAAGCTTCCTTGACCCCTCTAGATGGACCTCTCTTTTGTCCCAACCTCATCACAGGCATTCCTCTAAACAGGATAATTATGTTGTATTGGTATTTCTTTCTCTTCTTAAGAGAATATACTGTCTCTTATTAACTCCCAGTATCCCCAGACCTTCCTCAGTACCTGCCTGCACATGGCAAGTACTGAAAAAGATGTTTGACAAATGAAAAGATTATTGTTTCCAACACTGACACAAAATGACAAAATACCATCCATCAAAGATTTTATAAACATACCTACATATCCTAGCTCTTCATTCTACATTCTTTATTTTTCTTATTGTTTATTATGAACATTTCTTAGCTTGCACTTGAGGGGAAAAAAAACTATTTTACTTTAAATATGTCTTTCAATGACAGTCCACTGTTGGGCTTGTAATATAGTGATTCAGCCTTAAAAAAACTAAACAAGGGGAACATGAACTGATGATAAGAAATGAACTATTACATGCTACTAAATACATCTTAAAATGTATCTGTATTTATATCTAATACCATCCCACAGTTACAAGAAATCTATGAATATGTATAGAAACAGCACAACTACTAAAGAAAGGAAATCTATACTGGGCTTTTGAGTTGTCAAAGTACTTCTGGGCATTACCTCATCTGAGAGTGGGAAAATGGAGGGTAACAGAATAAATGGCTTGCTAATCCTCAGATAAAGGTGTTTGGAATTCAAATACCATGTGCTTTACATCATTCTACCTTCTTCCCATTAAACCAATATCCTTAAGTTACTAGTAAAAAAAATTTTAAGTGTATATTTCAAACAAAACGGGTGTAACAAAAAAGGTGTAAGAAAAAAACAAGCAATAAGAACAATGACTAAAATAATCAGTGCTAAAAATAAACAGAATGCAAATAAACACATGAAAGAGAAGCCAATGACTAAGAATAATCTTAGTCCAGCACAATGAAACCACTATGGGAGAACTAAGAGTTTAGGGTTTTTATAAAAAAAGTGAAATAACCAGGAATTAGTTAATGTTAAGACATCGAGTACTACGGGATGAGAATACAGACATAAACACAAAGTTCAGGGAAGACAAAGATTTGTATATGTAAAATTAGCTTATCAGAGAGGTAAGACTTGAGTGGGGCCTTGAGAAACACACGGAAGCGGCCCAGTACAATGTTCAATTGAGACTTTGAAGGAAGAGGCTCTATAGTCAAACCTTGGTTCCACCACTTGAGAAAGTTACTTACCGGTGAATTTCATTTCCTGAACTGCAAAATAGGGTGAATTTTTGCCTCAAGAGTGCCTAGAGCCTAGTAAATATAAGCTCTATATATGCAGGTTCTCTCCTCTACTTCCTTCCCAGGCAGGAAGAAGGCAATTAGACCTAAGACTATCTATCAAGGTGCTTCCAAGATCTGTCAAAATATATTTGCCAAAAGTAAAAGAAAAGAGGCGCTGTTATAAGCCATTAAACAAAGACCAACATGCATGATTGGTCTGTGCTAAGATTCTAAATGAAACTAATTACAAATTAACTATATTCTACCCAAGACAGAAAAGAATGGGCTGCCCACCTAACAGCAGGAAGCTTAATGTAAATGTTTTTAAAAGAACTAAAAATTCAAAACTGATTATTGACTCGGAAAATGGTTTTTCTGCATCATTCACATCCTGTTGCATCACTAATTAAAAGGGCGTATAAATAAAGGGACCACAAACATGATAGTTATTTTAGCACACTACATTATAAATCAAGGTAGTGTGAAACACAGCCAACAGATAAAAGTGGGAGTTAACAAGAGGTCGAATTGTAGCCCTTAAAATTGAATGCTGTGATGAAACCACTCTTACTGGTAATGGTTAAAAACAGAAAGCATATGATAGCTCCTGGAGGGTAGAGGGAAAATAGCACATGAAAGTCAGTCTTATAAAGGGGCTACTAAGAGAACTCATAACATAATAACACTTGAAGTATTTAAGGTCAAAGGAGAATGTTTTAAATTATCACCAGATATAAAGCATTTACTTTCACCTCTACCAAGGAATATACTCACAATTAGACAACTCAATACAACTTGAGAGATCGCCAAAGTCCTAAAAGTATTATAAGTACAGACAACCTGAGAACTCTTGTTGAATTCTTAACAAGGCATCAGAAAATCTAATAGACCATTTGAAATAGGCAGTTACCTTAACAAAACCAGTAAAGCCCTTAAGACCTAGAGAAAACTGGCTAATTTTAAGATACAGTATATGTCAGAGCTGTACTATAAATTCATGGTGAAGGGCATAAAATCTTTATACAGAGAAAAGATGCAAATGACCACAAATTATATGTCATAAAACATTTGTGTGAATATGTAGAAACGAGAAAATAATATTACCATTAAACAAGAAGGTATAAAAACTGATGAAAGTTTAATAGCCAGAGAATAGTTTGAGAGACTGGACTCGCTTTTATTTTTTTAAGGACATTATAAGAGAAAACTAGAAAATCTCTCCTAATAATGCTGAAGGCATTGTATTTAAATACACAAATACAAAGCCACATCAAAATCCTGACTAGTATATACTGGTAGAATAAAAAATGTTATCTACATCAAAGAGATTGAGGGAAGATCAAACATCCTTCTAGAAAGAGATGTCACATAAAGAGGAAGAAAAGATCAATACAAAAAATGAAATAACTGATATGCTAACATCAAAAGGACATGGTTGGACTGTGATCACTCCCAGATATATCCAACTGGAAGCAAACATAATTTCCAGTAATAAGATGCTTCAGTGGTAACAAATACTACTATAAAAAAGTTTTCATTACTATAAAGTCAAGCAAATGAAAAGATGTAGTACAAAAATATCATCCCACTAATCAATAAGAGAAAAAAGATCTAATAAAACAATATTTTCATCATTCACCCAGGAAGGGAAATTCCCTAAAAGAATATTTTAGTGGCTTACAAAACTCGTTCTATCTGAAAAAAAGTAACTAAAAAAATTTGCATCAATAGTGATCAGTTTCCTGTATATTATGATATTTCACCATAACTTCCATCTGTATATTTTCTTAAGTGAAAAATGAAGAATTGGTTTGCATATCTACTAATGATAAACTATATAGAATGGATCTGGCCAACTGAATGACATGCGTAAGATGCATAGATATGACAATCGATTACTGGACTAGCTGCTAACATTAAGTAAAGAATGGTAAGTTTCAAAAGACGAGGGAATCTAAACAGTGCAAGTCACTGGCAAAATATGCCTCACATTAAAAAAAAGTTTTCAGTTATTGCAATCTTTAAAACTCTTTCTAAAGATCTAATCCATAATTTCTAACCTTCATCAGAATCCCAGTCAATTAGTTATAGCCTCAAGAATACTAAACGTGGCATTTAACTCTGTTCATCCATGTCATTTAGCTCTATCCAATTCTATAGCTGTAAGGGATTCTGGATTATGTCTATTCCAATCTCCATGTTTATAGTACCTGAGGGGTTTTTCTGGATGTATTGGGACCTTAAGGACATTATCAATCAGGTCACTTAGGCATCATTCAGTAAGTTATTAGCAGAGTACTAATGTAATATACTAAATAGCATCTAAGAATCCTGAAAGAGTTTATATTCCTCTCAAAATGTCACTTTGAAGCTAATAATGGAACTACACTGATAAAGAAGCTGTCACATAGTTAAAAATTTAAATACAATTACACTAAAAAAGCTGTCTCAGTGTCTTAGGAAAAAAAAAGATAAAGTATCAGCAAATTTACCGCTTTTTTCTAATGTCCTTTTTTCTTCTTACCAAGCAAGCATTTCCACTTATCAAATATAAATTGTTACCATGGCTAGGTATGAGACAAATGACTCATTCAGAAAGGCTTGAAATCTACAGATAAAAAACAAAGTTGCCTTAATGCCCAAAAACTGAGCCAATCACTGATAACTAAAATTAACTACTGTGAAGTTATTTAAATGAAGGAGAGACATACTCGGACAACCTTCTGAAATAGAGCAACAGTGCTATAAAGAAAACAAACTAACATTCAGAAGGAGAGTACATTTAGTTAGTGCAATTGTACAAATGAATAAACTACAAATTAAAAATACTGCACAAAAAAAATTCACATATTACCAGCAACATATGCAAGACATCAAAATGTTAAATTTTAAACAAGTGTATGAAATTTTAAAAGGCACTTCATATAACAATTAATGAAAAGAGTACTTCTCTGTATACAGTAACTACAAGAAATCATATTGTCTCCACATACATTCTATGTCAAGAAATAACATTTTGAAGAAAAAGGATCATTAAACATATCCCCTTTGAGAATACCAAATCATTAAACTTGCAATCATTCCAAGACCTTGTAGAAAACCTGGAAGTACGTATTTAAACATAAGAGGTTGGCCTAACGGAGAATTCTGTCATAGGTTCTGCACATGGCAGGCACAATATGAAAATTTATTATCTGACTAATTATGAATTTCATACACTATTGGTGTTGTCTCCTTAAACCAAGTCCTAATCCCAATTTTTAATTTTGTAACACCATCATCATTCAAGTATGCCAGAGAAAGATTTTAAAATAAAAAACAAACAGGTTAAAGATATTGTTTCTTCTGTAGTTAAGAGAATAATCTACAGCTAAAAACTGTTCCTTCTCTACAGCATTCTGTCCTTACTATCCCCACTGAAATGGCAAATCCTTTCAGAAGTTACCAACTTGATCACCAATTCAATAATTTCGTTGTTCAATACCTGTTACTTTTTAAAAAATTCTCTGGAGAGGCTTGCGCGTATCAATTAGAGAGTGATAAAGCAACGTTATTCATCTTTATTACTGAGCAACATAACACAAGAGGAAGAGAACAGCATGCTGTTTTATAAAATATTTAAGAAAGGAGTAGCTACACAACAATGTAAACATAGTTAACACTACTGAACTGCACACTTAAAAATGGTTAAGATGGTAAACTGTCTTTTTCAACCATAATAAAAAATTAAAAAGAAGGGGCTTATTAAGCAGAAGTGACAAAGCAGTTTCAGAGAATCCTATCTATCTCCAAGCATCACTTATTTTGGTTTGGTTTCTGGAAAATAAGAGTACCTCAAAAATAAGTTTGTGACCAGATTTTAATTTAGGGAAGGAAAGGGAAGAAATGGGAAAGTAGTAGCAGTTTGAAGTAGCCTTAGCTAATTGGGAACACATGTGTAGCCATATAGAATAGTTCCGAGCTCTATATCTCTCCAGAGAGTTCCCCAGTGGCTAGTCCTTTCAGAGGAAACTACAGTGCCGTGTCACGGGCACATGAGGCTGACTGGTGTAGCACATATCATGAAGTATAAAAATCTTTGTATGATTTCTTAGGCTCTTCTAGACTTCAATTTGAAGAGTTCAACTAGAGAGTTCCCAAAGCACTGTTGTGGACATAAAAAAGAAGTAAAACTTGGTGGAAAATATAGAAAAATAAAGGTAAATGTTAACTCTAGATATGACTTAACCGATCATCTGCAAAATAATCTCTTCTATCAAGACTGTAGTTTAGGTTTTACCAATAGGACTAATACAGTACCCTGAAATTATCTGACAAAACAAAGTAACTTCTTCCAAGTAGGGATATTTGCCTCTTCAACCTCTATAGCACAAACAGGTAAAGCAAAGTAGATAAAAAGGGTGCTGAATATGGTTATAACGGGAAGAAGAATGAGCTTCCAATAAACCATTAAAAAGTGGGGCACCAGGGAAACTGTCAATCACCACTATGCAAGAACTATGGCAAGAAATAGAAAACACATGAACCCTAAAACAGTGTTATATGCCACTAACAGTACACCCAAAATACTTTGATCAAGCAGATGATAAAAATAAAGATGTTTGACAAACAAGTTACAAAACTGTTAAGTCTGTCAATAAAAAAGAAACATTGGTTTTGGCTGCCAAGCAAATAACAACACTAGGTGATATATTCAGACCCCTCAAACTTGGCATTTTCTCCATTTCTGAAGTCATGCTGCGAAGACAATGATCTAAGGGCTGGTCTACCATACAGCCACTGCCTTGAGATTAAAAAGAGATCGTGGGACATATAACTGAGGTATCTGCTGCCAGTTCCAGTATGATGGAGAACTATTAATTGAACCCATCAGGAGCAAAAAAGGTAAGTCATCTCTCATGGTAAGTCTGACTAGATGAAGGGACCAATAAACTAAGACCATGTCGCTGACGTCTTAATTTCAGACTTTCAAGAAATCATTAATGGACATCATTTAAACAGATATCCAGAAACAGAACTGTGTGAGATGTTCTCTTTACTACATCCACAGTTACACTCTAAACCTTAGGAATTTCTCAGTAACATTGATTGATGCCATCCCTCTTTATTACAATAAGAGGACCGGATTGTCAGGCATGTTTGGAATTCTTGCTCTTTTTTAAGAGTTCAGGTTTGCATGCCTGGGTGATGTGAGTAACATCTTTTATTTTCAGGGCACATTAAAATGTACATATATTTTTGAATTTAGAGTGTGATGAATTATCAAGCTCAAAAAAGTTAACTGTTTAGAAGGTAGGTTTGTTTTAAAAGGTCATCTTGGTGAAAGGCCCAGAGTATCCTGAGAGAACACCATTTCTGGGTCTCACAGCTTGTTTATATATGAGAGCTTGATAGGTCAGAAACTTTTAAGTGATGACAACAAAGAATTCTCTCACGTGTAACTTTGAGTGGTGATGGTATGGTAGCCATCAGCCTTGATGAAGACAGTTACTGTGAAAATTTCTACAGAACGTTACAGGTAGAAAAGTCTTTTTCCAGCTGGTGTCCACAGTAGACCTGTGACATCTAGCCATCCCACTGGAAGCAAACTGGATTTGGCAAATTTTGATTTCTATTCCAGTTCTTGATATACAGCTTCACTGTTGATTTGTAAGTCTCATAGAGCTTGAGAGTAGTATGAGCTGACTCTTGGTGAGTTGATCATTCTGACATAAAGAGACTGTAACAGATTTGTCATTTTGTGAAAATCTGACAAGCTGAAGCCTGAACAAGGAAGCACTGATGACCTAAAAACGAAGAATTTGCCTCTGGTGTTAAACAGAGATCTAGTAGTCGGTTATTTTTCCAGACCCCAAATCTGCTAGTCCTCAATTTATCAGCAAGATTTTCCTGAGGAACAAATCTTTATATTTTCCTTTAATTACAGGAGGATTCAGATTCCTGAGTACCCTCCTCTGGACTTTATTGGACCAGAAATAATGGGTAAATCTTTGTCCAAACCTACTCTGATGAAAGTCTCTACAGTTCCCTTGGCCAATAAAGCAAAGTTCTCTTTATTATATACTTCATTCCAAAAGTCTAGAATTCAAATGTCAGCGGTGGCAAGTCCAGACATACATTCAGTTTCTGAGGTGACTTCCTACCTGTAGATCCTGTTTGAGCCGGGAGGAAGTAAAAATACTTAGAATGTTGGACAGCTACACTGCTGAACATAAACAGGCTATTAATTCTTGTAACCATGGCGTTCTGGAGATTCTCCCTTTTTTCTGTATCTATAGGGGTGGTTTCGGGATTTGTACCAATCCCCTTTGGAGTATCCTCTATTGTGATAATGTGCTTTCTGATCATGACTATAAAAGTATCGATGTTGGTTATAGTATTTGTTGTGGTCTTTATAGTCATTTTCTTTTATACTGTTTTCTTCTGCAACAACGGCATTCACATCTTGTCCAAAGAGGGAAGCACCATCAAAGGGCAAGTGTGAGATCTTCTCCTGGGTTTTCTTAGTGAGAGATGTAAGTCGGAGCCAGGCTTGCCTTCTGTAGTCTACTGCCATTGCCATAACTCTGACTACAGAGTCCATTATGTCCCTAGTAGTACAAAGCTGCCAAAGGCCTGCATCCATACCATCAGATATTATACATCTTGCTTTTCCACGATCAAACTCTGGGTCATGGACCAGATCTTCCATGTCTTCCCAGAGTTTACGCTGATACTGAGTCATATAGGCCATGTAGCTAGCAGCTCGGGCTGCAATGGAAGCAGCATGGTAGAATCTACAACCCATGACCTCCATTTCTTTTGAGGTAGAATCTAGAGGAGATGTTGTGCTTCCTCTTTTGCTATGCTCTAATGCTTCTACAATGGGGCCCTCAGCTGGTGGATTCGGCTGGAAAGGAGAGGTATCCCTGGCCACAGGATATACCCTGTGTCCCATGAAGGAAGAAGGATGGCAATCAGCAGGGTCTTTAAAAACTTCAGTGGTGGCAATTCTCAGAAGAGGATGCAAAGGAGGAACCAAACGCTTCTTAGAGGTCACATAATCAGGTTTCCCATCACATGATTCTGCTTCAGACTGTAACGTTACTCTCTTTATAACACCTCTTTGTTCCATTCTCTTCAAAAGACCTGTGAAACTAGACTGACTGGGGTCGGTTGGCTGTCCTTTGTCATCAGCTGAGGGGGATTTGCAGTCAGCTTCTTCTTCAGCTGTGGACAAATTTTCTTCCTTGGAGGTAGAGATGTCCCAAGGAACTGAGGAATTCTCACTTGGCCTAGAATGATGAAATCTAAAACAGCTCCTGGACTGCAGATCACGTATCACTCGGGACATCTCAGCCACTTGTGTTTGGAGATAGAGGATGGCATCCTGTCCATGCTGCGAAGCTGAAGACTCTGGAGGTAAATCCTCCTTGACCTCTGAAGAGGCCAAAGATTCTTGGGGGACCAGAAGTGGAGATGAAGACAGAGTCTGATAATTTTGTGATGGTTTAAGTGTCTCTGTCTCAGAGATCTTAATATCTGAATTATTTGTATCATTTTTCTGGCTCTCCAATGGATTCTCAACAGAAGAAGGTTGAGAAACTATCCTTTGTGGACTGCTGGTGCAACTCCCAGAGGAGGAGCTGCTGTCTCCAATGGGAAGAGGAACACTGCAGCTAGAGCACATTTCTGGGCGATGATTCTCAGAGGATGGCACCTTAGACTCAGGCATTCTCTGGGTTATCCACATGAACAAGAAAACCAAGGGAAAAAGAAAAATGCTTTTAATATGTTAACTTTCAAGTGCAGAGATGCATGTCCAGTAAGTAGAATTCAATTTTTTAAATTACTGTAATTAACAATGAAAGATGCAATCCACTACAGGTCAGCAAGTGGATCACAGAAATCAAATCCACAAGCTTCACTACCCCAAAGGCCTAATATCAACTACTGACATTAATGCGGTACTCTGTTTAGGAACAAAGAGAGAGTATAAACAGGCCCAGTTCAAGTGCTGCCCCTCGAGCCTGCTGCTTGGGCCCACGCTAGGCTAAGAAGAGGTGGCGGGACTGTTGGTGATAACAATTTTAAAAAAAAAATCCCATTTAACATACGTAAGTCAACAAGTAGGAGCTAATAATTGCAAAGAAAACTTGGGAAAAGTCCCAGAAAAAAATTTTTTTCTACAAGTCCCCAATTGCGGAATCACTTTTAAGCTCCTTTAAAAATTCTCTCCATGAAAAACAAAACTTTCCAGTTGCATAGTCCTACTTTATGATTTGTAGCTTTCAAAGAGCTTACATATATTTTTGTTTCCTCATTTCATCCCCACAACAACCCTGTGAGGTAGGTACTATTCTTATTTGATAAAGAATCTAAGAATAAAGGCTATTTAATTTATCCAAAGTCACAGAATTAATAAGGAATAAAGCTGAGACTAAAACCTAGGTATTTTGATTCCAAGTCCAAGTCTCAATCCCTATATCACAGAACCAAGAAACTTTCTGTTCACCTTGGAACGAGAGCCAGGAGTATTCTAATCCATCAAGAAAACAGCACATTAGTATCAATTTGGGCTAAGACAAATGAAAGACAAGATGCTGCAAAGGGCTCAGCTAGTCTGATTCTCAAAATAACAGAAATATTAGTTTAAGGGTCAAACCCATAACCAAAAAATCATAGATAAGAAAACTCCAAATATATGGGAGCTAGAGGAGGTCAAAAGGAATGATGACTGAAGTAATATATCACATACAATCCTTCCCCACATTCCATTTCCTAAAGGATCTTTACATATCCTTCCTTCCAAGATAACTCAAATTTTCTGTGATCACATGGTTCTGGATGAAAAGGATCCAATTCTATAGGGCACCTGAAGAGAGACAGGAAAGAAGGGCACAAGGAGCCAAAAAGTTTGCCGTTTTTATTCTATTATCCTTTTATCAGATATCACCGCCAAGACTAACTTTCCTTTGTCACGTTATCCTTCCATATCCTCACTGAAATTAGAGGAACAAAACTAAAGTAACAGATGTTCTGGGCAAAGAATTCCTTGGACTATCTATTGTGGCCCATTCTAACAGAAATGGGCCATTCTCTAAAGCACTAAACACAGCCATCATTGACTTGAACACTCTTCTTTAGAGAATGCCTCTTAAATAACAGAAATAAAGAAATGCAAATCAAGTACGATGTACTTACATTAGTTTGAGAGGTGCTAGGCTCTTCATCGTCACTGCTGACCAGATCAATGTATTCGAGAACAGGTCTTAATGGTCCTTCCTATGAAATTGAGCAAATTAACAAGTCATGAACAGTTATTCAAACTAAACTAGCATTTAAAACAATCATTTTGTTGCTGTTGTTATTGAAACTGACAGAAATTCCTCTGAAGAGGACGCCTTATGGCTGGCTGAAAATAATCAGAATAAATGCAGAGGAAAATATTCAGAGTATGTACATATAAGAAATGATGATGAGTTCTAAACAAAATAACCTAAACCCCAGTAGAGTATTAGGACTATGTCAATTCCTTGGATAAAGGATTATTAATATAGAAATAGGCTACAAGGACACAGACATTATGATCCAATGCCTTTCAAACAGGACAGGTATCAATGATTTGTTAGATATCCAAGCTCAAAATCATGGAGTTCTTTGACTAAAAGCTTGGATTTATTTTCCCACTCCTATAACCAAATATTAAACCTGATTCTTCTACATCCGTTCTTTCCAGCCATACTGACTCCATCATGGACCAGGCCTTACATGCTAGACTTAAAAGCCTAGATTTTATTTTATAGGCAAAATAGAATCAATAAATACTAAGATGGGAACATTATGAGAGCTGTGCTTTAAGATTAATCATATAAAGGAGGAGGAAGAGTGGGGAAAGCAGGATAATTAATCAGTCCAGGCACATAATAATGCAGAACTAAAAGAGTAGTGATGGCAAAGAGAACAGTGTTGTGGTGTACATACAAGAGAATACATGGGTATAATAGGGGGAAGAAAAAAAAGGTTGTTTATAAAAAACAGAACCCTAACAATAACAAGAAGTCAAAGTTATCCCAAAGGTTTCAAGCTTGGGTAATTAAAAGATACTAAAGCCATTAATATAAATTTGGAATACAGAAACAGAAAGCTGACATTCTTTTGGACATAATGGGTTGATGTGCCAATGGTTCACAGAGGTATTTGGCAGAGAGCTGGAAATGCAGGCTTGAAATCTGGATATACCAACATTAACTGGGAATAGAGATTTGGGAGTGGCTCCCCTAGAAGACTATTAACTCTAGCTTTAAATTGAAACTATGATATTGCCAAGGAAGAAAGCAAAAAGAAATAAGAGATTCAAGGAGGCTCTTGAGGAAATGCTGAAATTTTAGGATTCAGGAAAAGAGCTAACTAGGTAATCAGAGATTGAAGAACCAGGAATGCATCAATTCAAAGAAGCTAGACAGAATAAATCCCAATGAAAAGTTATCAATGCTAACTATGGCCAAAAAAACAAACAAAAAAATGCCACTGAATTTGGCAACAAGGAGACCTTAAAATGCCTCTGAGAGAGAAACTCTCAAGAAAGTAGTGAGCCCAGATGTCACTCTGAAAAAAATAAGTAGAAAATGTGGCAGTAAAGAATATGAGTAAAGATTATTCTTTTAAAAAATCTAGTAGATTGAGAACAAAAGAATGGAACAAAGGAGGAGAATATGGATGAAGAGAGATTTTTTTTTAGGATACAGAAAGTTGACTGCTGGCAAGTCAAAGTGATTAATTTGTGGAAAAACTAACAGAAAGAGAGATCTTAGAGTAAGAAAGCTAAGATCTAGTAAAAAAAAAAAGATCCTCTTCCTGAAAGAAGCATCCAGTCTCAAAGACAGCTTGTTTCTCCCCCTAAATTACAACTTCTCCCTAAGCAGGAAATGGCTATCCTTGCAGGTAGTTAAGTGATCCAGGCACTGAGATAAAACCAGAGAGCAAAACTTCTGGTCAGGGATCATGTAATAAAGTAATTAGGATTTTTGCCTGGGCTGTAAAAATGGAAGTTTAAAAAAAGAGGAACAGATATTCCCCAACATATGAGCAACAGAGTTGCATCACCTACTTTAAGACTAAAACCTACCACTGGTATTAAGATGATCAAAATCATAGGGTCAATCTACGAAGTAGAAGAGATAAAAATAGCTTCTCCTGTTCATATAATTACGGGAGTTATCACTCGTCAAGAAATGTACATTAGGAAATTTTATTACATGCCCATAGCAATAGCACACCAAGAAAGCCCCAGGTTACCAGAAATACACAGAGGCAGAGCTTCCATGAACAGAGAGTAGGTAAAGGAACAAGGGAGGTGAAAAATGGTAACAGGGCACAAAGTAAAAAGTAGAATGGGCAGGAAAGAAACAGAATAAGAATAATGGTCACAAATAGAATTTAAAAGTAGTTAAGACTACCAAAATAGGTAAGACAACAAAAATTTACTATTGGAGTGAACCGTTAGACTGATATGCAACCATTTTTTTTACCACTAAACAATGACAAGTTCATATAATTCACACTAATTAAGAAGAATAAAAAGAATCAGGATAGGGAATCCAAAAGTAAGGAAAAGCAGGAGTCCTTTAAAATATTCATTCACTCAACAAATGATTACGGAGTTATAAGTGACATTATGGTAGAAGACAAGTGTCTGAGACAGCCAAAACAGCAAAGAGGCTGAATGGAAAAATAAGGAAAGAGAAGTATTTCAGAGGAAAAGATTACTTATAAACAATACTTTACATTTTAGCTAACTTCCACAGTGGATATGGAAAAACTTCCACCATAATGAAGGAATCAAAACATTTTAGGGGCCGGCCGAGTGGCGCGTTGGTTAGGAGTTGGCTTGGGACGCCAGCTCTGAGCAGCAGGGCCCTGGTTCAGATCTCACATGAGGGCCAGTGACACTGCCCTCTACAGCTAAGATGGTGAACAACAGCTCAACCTGGAGCTGGGCTGCCATGAGTGGCTGGTGACGGCATAGGCTGCAACCCCTGCTGCAGTGGGCTCCCTTGAGCGGGTGGCAGCCAGCGTAAGCAGCCCGGCAGCCGGTGTGAGCTTTCATGAGCGGCCGTCCAATGGTTGGCGAGCGACTGCCTCACCTGGGAAGAGCACAATGATAATACCAACATGGGACACTGAAGCGATGTCCTCCACAACTAGACTGAAGAACAAAAGGACAGCAACTTATCTGTTCCCCTTCCCCAACGCTGTTCCCCTCCCCCAATTCCCCCAATAAAATCTTAAATAAATAAAATAAAATAAAAATAAAAAAACATTTTAGTACCCCATTTATTTTACTACTAATCGGTAACATTTGTCATTGAGCCCTGTACAGGAATTGTGCTAACTATTCATGTACATGATTTCATTTAATCCCCACAATGACTTTATAAGGTGAGACACTGTATTATTACTATTATCCCATTTAACAAACGAGAAAACTAAGTGAGGTATACCTGGTTCTCTAAACATATAATTGGCTGTGTGGTCAATGCAACTCTGAAGTAGTTCAGAATATATGTACTATTTTTAAATCAATGCTTATTATATAAGTTTCTGAGATAATTTTCAATAGGAGAAAAAGGACTACCTGCTATTATACCCAACTCCGAATAACTCATAATACTGACTGAAAAATAAGTTACTAACTCCCCAAACAAAATATTTATAATACAAAGATTAAGAATAAATAATTTCTTATAATATTTATAATGACTGCTTGTATCCTTAACAAGTATAAATGCATGTGGTCCTCCATTTACAAGGTATTTTATTTGAACTTGCTTCATCCATCAACTAGTAAACCATCATTCTCATCTCCTTTGTGCCAATAACAAAATCAAAGGCTTCTACTTCCAAGGCCAAACAATTTAGGGGAAGCAACAGAGACATAAAGAAAACAGATTAGGAACACAGTAGTTGAATTAATATTCTAAGTTTAAATTTTTTTAAATTATATAAAAAGCTTTCATTCCTGTTATTAGAAAAATGATTCTTATAAAACCAAAACACCAGTTACCTACTAACTGGAAAGTGATGTCAATATATTAAGGTGTGGCATACCAGAAAAAAGTACTAGTTTACCCCAGTCTAAAACAAAGAATATAGGTTTTAGCACAGATGCAAAAATCTAATCTAAAACTGTAAATAACTCATGTTTTTCCTTTCCATATAAAGAAGTTAGAGACTTACGATTTACTTCTGTAGTCCTGCCCAGTTCAAAAATTTCAAATGGTTCCCAACTGCTTGATTCAAGTTCAAATATGGTTCACAATTCAAGATCTATATACTATCTAGTCCATCGTTTCCTCTCCCATTAAAAAATTTATCTTCCAAAACTACGCAAAATACTGCTTTCCGAATTTTTATGCTTTTCCTGATGTCTCAAATGACCTTTTAAACACATAAAAATACTAAATGCTACCCAACCAAATAAGCTGAAAGTCTTGTCTTTTTTTTTTTTTGATAGCGTCATGTACTTTTCATAAAAGAACTTGGTACTAGAGCTATTTATATAAGTTTTCATCTATTTAATTTCTCACACTGAAATACTGATACTTATGGGTAGGATGTATTTCTAATTAATCTTTGTAGCTCTAAGGTACTCAAGTTATACCTTTGCATATTATGAGCGTCAACATTTTTATTAAGCTATTTGTAGTCCCAAGACACTGAGAGAACAGATAGCCTAGGGCTGGCCGAGTGGCTCAGTTGGTTAAGAGCTCACTCAAGAGTGTGAGCGCTGAGCAACAGGGTCGCTGGTTCGATTCTCAGCCCGAGCTGAGCGGCCCACAGCTGCCAACAGGTGGCAGGATGGCTCAGCTAAAAAAAAAAAACAAAGAAACAAGCAAAAAAAACCCAGATAGCCTGATTTTTTCCCAATTCTGCTGCAGTTAAAGTAATTAAACCTTGATTTCCGTCCCTATTTCCACATGTTCAATAATTCACATTATACCGATAATCTTAGCTAAAACCTAAATCTCATGTGCTATCTTCAAGATTATGATACGTTGCCTCAGCAGTTTTTATACTTTTGTATCTAGAGTTCGCACTGTGAAAAATCATGTCATCAGCTCTTAGCTAAAACAGTTTTCTGGGAGTACACTAAAATATCCGCAGTTTCAAAAAAAGACATGAATGTGATGGCTGAATAGGGTCATAAACTAAACAGAAAATGAGAGAAAAAGACCTACCTAAACGAAAAGGTTTTGTTATGGTAATATTTGGTTTCTTGATTTGAGCACGGTTTATACGGGTGTATTGGCATTGCAAAAATCAAACAGTACACTTATGAATTGTGTACTGTGTTGTTTCAATAAAATTTAAATGAAAGGGGTCATTTTTGCACTTCCACATCTATATTATTCCTTTCCTTCAGCATGCTATGTTTAGTTTCGGACTCTGTATTTTGCAAACCACAATAGAACTGCTATGCTACCATATGGATTAAAGATGAGAAAATTAAATTAATAACAGTAAACTAAGAAATTCAAACCAGACTAAATCAAGAAATGACATCATAATGTTCTTTCTGTAGCTAAACAAATCTTACGTAGATAAGTGTTTATTATCTTTATTGGATAACCATTACCTAGTGGAATCAAGTATAAGATTGGGTCACGGAGAGAAGTATAAGATTCTGTCTTTATAGGTACTTTAAAATAGAATTAAGGTATTATTGTCATTTAAGTGTTATCACTAAAAAGGAAGAGGGAACGTTTTTAATAGGTTTCTTCTAGAATTGTAATTGCACTTAATACATATAACTAATTTCTCCATTTGGAACGATCCAACCTTTGAACCTATATTTGGAAACAGAGGTAAATACAAGACATTGTATCAAGTTGAATACACTAAACATTGATTGTATATTTTTTATTCTACATGCAAAGATATAACATTCTTTACATTTAAAATAAAAATTAAGAATATTTTTAAGCCAACTTAATACAAGCTTGTATTAGTCACAAGTTACACAATTCTTCATTCCAGAGTACCAAAAACAATTTTTTTCAAATTTTTAGTAGATTCCATCTGTGACTTTCAAAGCAAGGCCTGTAGCTCATAAAGAAGTGTATCATTCTTAGGTTTATTTGCACATTATCAAGATAAATATTCTCCATTCACAAATATATCAATATAAAGAAGAATGTTTGTCCTGAAGAGCCACAGAATCCTGTTACCAAGCATACTTCAGTCCATAGTAAATGAAAGGGCAGGATACAATTTTTCTACTCCCCTCACAACCTTTAAAAGTTCAAAATGAAAAGGACCGAGCATACCATACGCATTAGCCTTAGAGAAAAAGCCAAAGAAATGGTCTTGTGAAAGACTCCTGAATCAACCCATTACAATACAACAATGGATCACCACAATCGCCCTCATGTTGGGGTACTAGAAGATAGTTCAAAAAAACCAGTTTTACAAAGTTGCCCCCAAACCCAACAAACACAAATACACATCAGGAAGACACTATTAAAAGAAAAATTATAACCTTTAATAGCACAGCTCAACCAACTACAGTGTTCAAAAGAAGTAGTTCAGAATAGAAGTATTCTCTAGCTAACTAAGACACTACTTTAGGCAGAGCCTTTGTAATCCTTTAACAGTTTGGGGTAAAAGTCATCTCCAAATCTCTCATACCCATTTTTCCTGTAAACCAATGCTTTATAATGTGTAGTGCAGATTTTCGTCTGTCCTTGCATTTTTCCATAATGAAGATTCCTAGGCCCCACTTCAAATTCTGATTCAACAGGTCCAGAGTGAGGCCCAGGAATCTACACTTACTAATGCTTGAAAAACTACTGTCTCAAAGGGAATAAAATCAGAAAATACAGTAAGTTCCTGGTGATGCAGGAATCTTCATTGTGAACATCAATTGTTACTATGCTGTAACATCATGACCTCAGAGCTTAGTGACATCTTCAAGCTATCTGCTTTCATGTGATCAAGCTACATGCTCAGGTTTTGAGTTCTTGCCACACTTCTGGTTTTCTATCTCCTTCCTCATCACTAGCCTTCCCTTCACCCTCATCGGTGGGTCCTCTTTTAGATGATACTCTTGCCCCATTTCAAAACACAGTCTTAAGAGACCAGAACTGTGCATAGATAAGTATAAAATGGCTCTCCATGAAGGCATGAGAAGAGTGATTAAGTGTACAACATGCACTTCAGGCCATGGTCTTTGGGAGGGCTACTGTGGTTGCTCAGAGTCGTCTTTGGGTAAATGTGCTAATCCTACGCCCACTCCACGCTGTCCAGTACCTATGGGACATGCATCCGTATTTGTTCAATGATGAACAGGTGGGGTACAGTCTCATAAGGGCTTACCACGCAGCGTCTCTGGGGGAAACCCGAATATCGTTGGTACTTACACTAACAAACTGAATGTCATCTTCATTTTCATCCGTTGTGGACTCAGATGCCTCAGGCCCAGCTGGAGGGGCAGATTCTATTATCTACAAAAATAAGCCAAAACACGCTTATCGTATTACACAGCCACGTTACTCGCAGGAAGAGGTTTTCCCAAAAGGAACGAAAAAGGCACAGCTTTAAAGGAAACCTAACTGAGCACGAGTGCACGCAGCCCGTGGAGTCGGGTCATGCCTCTGCATACGTGGAGCTGGAGGGACCGGACGGCGAAGACGAGTTTCCAGCCCCTCCGAACTCCCCTATCTGCCCAAGGAGAAGGCATGCAGGCTCACGACTGAAGAGCAAGCCTGTCTCAAAATGTCGCTCCCACAGGCAGAGCAGCGGCAACAAGGAACTCGGGAGCCAGTGCAGGTGGCCGGGGGCGGCCGGGCGGCCATTGTTGCTGCTGGCTCCTCGCTCAGACCTGCACCGTTCAGTCCCGAACGCTGGGCTCGGCCCGACACGCTGAGGGGCTCGCCCCGTGGCCGCCGCCGAGCACCAGGCCTCGGCCCCACCGGAACACAAAACCCTTCGCGGTTCGCCCGAGAACGCCGCGGCCCGACGCCCCACTGCTCACCTCGGACCCTGGGTCTCCCATTTCTCCGACGGCCTAACTGACAGCACCGCTGCTCCTGCTGTCCCTGTGGCCGCCGCCGTCGCTGCAGTCCGCGCCGCCACCACCGCCACAGCCACGACCTCCCTTCCCGCCGAGCACCGCTTCGCGCCGCCGTGACCCGCCCCTGCGTGAGCGCCGACGCCGCCGTCGCCACCGACGCCTCCGGCGAAAAGAGGTGCAAAACCGCTTCGGAAGGAGGAGCGGCCAAGTCTAGCCCGCTATCCTCCCGAGCCTCTTTCGCACAGCCCCGTTCTTCCTTCCCTGCACCGCACAGGATTATGGGAATCGTAGTTCTCGCCGCACCCGAGACCGCCCCAAGCGTCGGGGACACTGATTGGAAAAATGCCCTGAGGCACAGCGCATGCGTTTCTCTAGGGTGACGTCACTGCCGTTCTGGGGAGCGGTGGGCGGGCTGGGATCTGTTTTATAGAGGGGCAGGGACGAAGATGTGGAGGAGGGTTTGGGATTGGATTTTGTATGGTTGTGGGAGTGAAGCACAGTTAAAGGCGGGTGATGGAGACTAATTTCTCAGTTTTCCTTTTTTTTTCTTTTTTGCGGAAGGCCAAGTTAGCTGAATTCTAAGATCAGGAACGAAATCTGATGTATGTTTACATTACTCACTTGTTCCCTAGCTTCAGTCTTCCAACCACAGCATGTGTTAATAAACTCGAGGAAGAAAACCGGTCTCCAGGTTAACCTGGAGAAAACTAGTAAGTCCAGGGCCCAATAGAACATGAAGACAAAGACTAGTTAACTTCATCACTAAGCACTACACCTATGATACTATTAATAAAATATACTTTTACAAGATGTCCTCAGATATTAATACCTTATGAAAATAGAATAGTTGCCCTTTTTTCAATGTTCGTACTCAAAAAAGCAATCTATAAAATGTTTCACTCATGTTCAACTATGTGTTTCAATTTTTTCTCAATAACTTACCAAAAAAAGGCCTTTTTTTTTTTTATACACAGCAATTGTCAATAAAGGTTTTGAAAAGAATTCAAGTTGGAAAATTCTTTTAAATCTTAGATTCCTGTTTTTGTCTATATACAAACCTGCCGTCTGAACAAATTACCTATGCCTGTAGTAATTATTGCCTAATATATGTGACATTTCCTGCGTTTCTTCCAAGTGCTTTATGACTTCAGATGCTTTTCTGTCTAGTAAGTTTGAGAAATTTAGAGGCAAATTGAGAATGAGAGACCTGCCTGTTGTGTTCCTCAAAGCTGTATGTAAATATTTCTAAAACTTAAATGTCTAGGTAAAACTTGTATTTAAGTTTTTCCTAATGTGCTGGTGAAAGTTCAGTGGAACATTTTCTTTAACAGGTTGCAAATAGGAGTTAATGGATGAAACTCTTGGAAAACAAGCATTATTATGTGGCTAGAGTCCCCAAATACTATACCCGTTAATACAGTTGTCATTGCAAGGATTTATCCTGAGGACATAATTTAATTGGTAGGAAAAGCTTTATGTAAAATATTATCACAGGTTTATTTGTAGTAGCAAAAATTGGAAAACATCTAAATGTCTAATGATTGGGGAATGGAAGGTTCAACTCTGGCATGTACTCTACCAACATAACACTACAGAGTGTTTTTACCGCCACTGAAAATGTTTAGCAAAAAATTAAAAGCATGTTTTTCACAACTGCAAGATATATGAAATATGATCAAAACCAGGCAAACTATGCCTCAAATACGAAACCTACTAAATATTAATAGTAATTTTCTCTGGGTAGCTGGACTATGTGTTTACAAGAAAATCCTTTGAAAACCCACTAACAGATTTTTTAGAGACATACCTATAGTTACCACAAAGCCAGATTTATTTAGCCTGGTGTAGCAAAGGAAAACAAGCCATAGGCAAAGCTTGGGAGTCTCTCAATCCTAGGAAATTTAAGGCCAGTTTGTGAAGTAGGGAACTGGTTAGAATTGGAAGAAACAGAGTTGTTTGCTGATTGATTCAAGATTCAAAATGGATACTTTTAATTATGAAGAAATGCTTTTTGTATGACTGAGGAAATGTTTTTTTATGTATTACTTGGGTTGCAGATCCATTATTTTGCTTTATGAGTTAAGGTAGTGAAGGGAGCCCATCATTGGGTTTGATAACTACACTGTAATTTGGATCTCTTAGATTTGTCCTAAACAACATTGTAATAGGTTTCCAGATCTACATCAGTGACATTATGATGATATTCTTCCTTCAACTCATTATGTAACAAGTAAAGGCTTCAACTTTAGTTTTATTTTCATCAGTTTTATATTGACTTTCTTGCTGTTCTTGTTGAATGATTATTTATAGAACCATCTGTCTGAACACTGACTGCACAGCGGCATTTAAGATTCTAGTGACCTGGAAGCCACCAAGAGGCAAATTAAATGTATCAATAAGACTTAAATACTTAAGAATCATTATCCAATATTCATTAAAAAAAAAGGAAAGTCTGGCTAGGATGAGCCTGTAACTTATATAAGGAGCATTCAACTTGGGCAAGAGTTCATGTATACACACCACCAAATCTTGTACTTTAGTAAAAGCACAAATACTTCCAATGCAATTATATTATTAAGAACCATATTTGGTTTGAATTAAATGCTCTTGTTTTAAAACCTGGCAACTTGAATGGCCTCTTTAACAGTTTCTAATAAAGTTTTTTTTAAAAAAAGGTGTATAGGCAATTATCCCAGCAGAATATTCTTCAGGGAAGAAGATAGCTCTTTGGATACGATTGAACCAGTTGTCATTGTCATTTCCTGGGAGTTATGCGATCAGAACAAAGAGCATTTGATTCTGTGAGAGTATAAAAGACTAGCCCTGCAGATCTGTAGTGCCATTTCTTTGTTCCTCTCAGGTCTGGAATTCTGTACAAGTGTTGGGCATAAGAAAAATAAGCCTGTTGGAACACAGGATGTAAGAGAGTGTCTCTTTTCTGGGTTTGGTTCATAAGAACAAATCACTTTTCTCATTAGAGCAATCTGCATTATCTACCTCTTTAGAATGTGGACATTCTCCCCTTCAAACAATAATGTATTTGCCCTTCGGAGTAAACTGAAAACAGTAGTTTTTGGTGTTTTTATTACACATTTTGAATAATTTGCAAAACTTTCTACCCCCTTTCTAGAAATATTTGGAGGACCATTGTTCACTGTATTTGCATCATAGTACTACTATTCTTCCATGTACGGCTACTGAACAAGACCTCTGGTGGTTCAGCTTGTAGTGGGTCACAAGGATTTTGTAAATATTGTGGACAACCAAAAGTATTAGAACTGCTTAGTATTAAAGAAATTGGTCTCTTGCACAATGTAAGTGTAGATGTAATTGTAACGATCTTGCTGGCAGGTCATAAGTATTAAGATCTATTTAACCTCTTTTATGACAATCTACATGTTAGAATAGTTGTCAAAATCTATTTACCGAAGAGCAACTGTGGTGGAATTTAAGGCAGGTATGTCTAATATTTGTTTCTTCCTACAAGGTGAAGGAGGGTGAAAAATCCTAGACAAAAAGACATCTCTGTATGATTTCACACTTATAGAAAAATTGCAAGAATAACATTTGTTTCTATCATATTCTCTCTATCTCTATAATATCACATACATATATATATTTTTTTCTCTGAATCATTGGAGAGTAGGATGTATCATCCTTTCTTATCCCTTAATATTCAGTGTGTATTTCCTAAGAATCAGAATTTTCTTTGACATAACCATGGTACTTGTTTAGTCTACCTGGGCTGCTATAACAGTTTACCATAGACCGAGTGGCTTAAATAACAATTTATTTTTCACAGTCTGGAGGCTGGGAAATGCAAGATCAAGGTGCCAGCAAAATCGATTCTTGGTGAGAGCACTCTTTCTGGTTTGCAGTATTATTGTATCTTCACATAGTAGACAGCAGAGAAGCAAGCTGTCTCCTGTCTTTCTTATAAGGACATTAATCCCATCATGAGGGCTCCACCATCATGACCTAATTACCTACCAAAGGCCTCAACTCCAAATACCATTCCATTGAGATTAGTGTTTCAACATATGAATTTTGGGAGGAACACACACATACAATCGGTAACAATACTGTTATCAAAATCTGGAAATTTAACATTGATATACTTTTTTCTAATCTACAGACCTTGCCACATTTTATCAGTTGTCCAGTCCAGGATCACACAAGAGCATTGAGTTACATGTCTCTTTATTCTTCTTTAATTTGGAGTTTTTAAGTCTTTTTCTTTCATGATATTGATGTTTTTGAAGTACTAAGGCCAATTATTTTATAAAATGTCCCTCAATTTTGGTTTGTCAGATCTTTTCTCATTAAAGTTATGCATTACCAGGCAAAATACTAGAAGTGATGTTGAAGTGTTTTGAGGTAATCCTACCTTCACATGCAGTATAAAAAATAATAGAGTACTTCTGGTATAGCAGCGTGAGGAGCTATGCTGACCTGCTTCCGAGTGAAACTGATGAAAGTTACATTAAAAAAGGTTTAAAGCCTCTGAGAGTGGTGCTAAGGACAACAAATGAAGGAAATCTATGAAAATTCTTCAACAAAAGCAAGAGTCTATGGTATGTGAACCAAGATCTCTCATCCCCTTCCCAGCTCAGTGAGACAGACCACTCCAGACTGCTGCGAACAAGAAGGGGTCTCTCTCTCCACTCCCTCACCCCCTAACTCCCAGTCCCCGTCCTTTTTCTGGAAGAGGCAGGACATCTTGTCCTCAGCTACTGTTGCTGAGGCTAAGTCTTGGGTGACTACAGTTGAGAGGCGGGGGCTCTTCCTTTTCATGGACCAGGAATTCACTTTGAACACTTTAATGCTGGGGCCTTTGTCACCCTTGTCCGACCTGGTAAAGCAATGGTTCTATGCCAGGAGATACAAGGCCAGAGGACCTCAGGCTGATGCCCCCACTCCTCCAAGTGTTCAGCTCCTAGAACGGGATATCCCTAAAAGAGAAGTTTGCCATTGTCTCTCCACCCTAGCCCAGAGCCCTGGTTTAGAGATTATGCCTGGGAGGAAGAGCAGGCTGTAAATAGCTTGTAATCTCTTCACAAAAAAGCTGCCTTCATTTGCAACAGATAGTGAAGGTCAGCCCTATAGATACTCTCAAGAACAGTGGAACTTGTGATGAAAGGCCATGGGGAGGATATTCAAGATACAAACTAACTGGAGGCTGTGTTCTTTTCATGAGAACCATGGAAGAAGATAGCTAAAAGCAATCAGTCCTCTTGGGGGAAAAAAAAATATCAACCGCTGATCTCAGAATCTATTCCTTCAGAGTCAGAATGTGATTGGATTACTTTTCGAGCAATTTATCCCCCGCTGCACTGAAAACAATTGAGCAACCAGCAGGAATGTGTGCATTTTAACTGCTGGGTGTGCTCAGGCAAAAAGGCAGAGCCCTACCCAAACCACTGGTGCCTGTGAGATGCTGCACCACACTGAGAAGCAACACAAAGGCTTCACGGGGGTGGGGGGTGGGGGATGGNAGGGGGGTGGGGGTGGGGTGGGGTGTAGGCTTCCCTAAAGTAATCCAGACAGTGTGGCTGTGTATCATTTCGTGAGAATTAACATTTTTACTATGCTGAGTATTCCAAACCATGAATGCAGCACTCCATTTACCTCCTGTGATGTTTTTCATCAGCATTATGTAGTTTTCAGCATATAATCCTGTACATGTTTTGCTAGATTTATTCTTAAGTATATATATTTTTTGGAGTGATGGTTAAAACTAGTATTGTATTTTTAACTTTGGTGTCCATATGATCATTGACAGTATACAGAAATACAGTTGCCTTTTTTATATTGATCTCATTATCTTGTCACCTCCCTGAACTCACTTGCTACTCTTACCAGGATTTTCTTTTTGTAGATTCCTTGGGATTATCTATGTGGTTAATTTTATCTGCAAATAGCAACAGTTTTTCTTCCTTCCTTTCCAAACTGCATGCCTTTTATTTACTTGTCTTGCTTTCATGTACTGGCTAGAATGTCCAGCATGATGTTGAATAAAAATAGTAGATTGGAAATCTTTGCCTTGTTCCTGATCTTAGGGGGAAAGCATTCTCTCTTACACCATTAAATATAATGTTAACTATAAGTTTTCCATAGTTTTTTGTGTTTATCACAAATGAGTGCTGAATTTTGTCAAGTGCTTTTTTCTGTGTCAATTGATAGCACAATTGCTGTTTGCATGTTCAGGTTAATCATGATAGAATAATGCCAAACCGATGGATTACCTTTAAAATCATGAGGTACAGTGTTCACACACTGTTAGTGTGATCATAAAATGGAACTGTGTGGGAAGCAAATGGCCCTGGAAGTGGTCCCAGGACTGAGGAGCAGATAGAGCTAGCTCTCCAAAGTGCTCCTATATTTCCCTTTCTCCTCCTTTTTGCCTCTGGGTCCTGCCACTCTCAATACAAAATAGTCCCTTTTTTTCCATGGAGGATATAGCTTATCTACCACAAAGTTCCCAGATATTAGAACCCCAAATAATTGTTTGCCTATAGTCAGTATATGTCTGATGTGTGTGTGTCTGTGTGTACACACTTTCTGGTACATTCTTGCTTAACACAGAAAAGCAAAATACAAACCATTGGGACACTTGTTAAAGAATGTCCTATCTCTAACCAAAACAAGTAAGCAGACATAACAACACTGAAGACATTCCTATTCAAGTGAGGAATAAAATGAACATGTCTGTAACTACGACTAGTATCTCTGGAAATCATAAACAATGCTGAGGTAAGGACAGCAAAGTAGCAAAAAGTATTAGAAAGACTAGGTAAAATGACCATTATTTGAAGATGAAAGGTTTATTTCCCCTACCCAAAAAACAAAAAGAGTAATGTGGAAACTTAAAAAGAAAACATATATCAAAATTTCTCTACACAGCAATGACCAATTATAAAAGTAAAAATGTTCCATTTAGAGTAGCAACATATAAAATATAAAAACATTCAAAAGAACCAAATTCCTAAGTGTGTAAGACCATTATGAAAAAAATGCAAAAATTTACTGAGGAAAAGAAAAACTATAATATTCAATATAAGAAGACCTTGTTTCTGAATTGGAAGAATCAGTTTTGTAAAGATATAACTTCTTCCCAGATTTGAAAATTACTTAAGTGTAATTCCGATAAAAATATCAAGAGTATTTTGGGGTAAAGGGGGATGGGGGAAGATAAATCAAAATGATTGTAAAACTCATCTGGATTAATAAATTTATGAATAGTACAAATATTCTTTAAAAAGAATATTGCTTTATAATTAACTATGTTATAGTTTACAAATCTCTAGTAATTAAGACATTGAAATGGCAGAATTAAAGCATGAGTTTCACCTCTCCCAATTTTTTTTCCAAAGATGAATATAAAGAAATTGATGTTCACAAAGACAGTAAGAGAGATTTTGGGGTGGGGGACAGACACCATAACTAGGGAATTAATACGACTAGGTCTGTCTGGAATTTTGAGAGGTTCTATAATATAAAGAACTACCATTTATAGACTGATTATTACATGCCACATGCTGTGCTATGCATACTACATACATAACTTCATTTGATCCATACAACTTTATAGGGTATTCATTTGGTACTATCTCCATTAGACAATTGAGAAAAATGTGGGAGACAAAACAGATGGAGTAGTAATAGATGGAGATTTCACAGGGCAGAGGAAGCAAATCAGTTTGCCCCAGAAAACTCAGAAGGGGCTAAGAATTGACACCAGGTACAATGGATGATGGAGCTAAGGTTCTACATAACAGAAAGGTTGAAAGACTGCACACAGGAACTGTAAGTCCCTCCTCTTACATATCTCCACATATTTACTCACAAGACATTCTCTGCATTAAGCTAAAAGGAGATATCCAGGGCCCAGGACACCATGTGTAGTTGTGGGCATGAGTGACAGCTGAAAAAAGAATTCATTGAAAGTGTTTTTGGAACATTGTCACTTTTAGCCACTTTCTCCTGTCCTGTCTGCAAAATATTAGCCAGGAGAACCAAGGGATCTTCCGGAGAACACTTAATTCAGCAGCAATCAAAAGACTCAGGATCAGACTGATATGTAGGTTATCCCCCCAAAAACAAATGGCTTTCTACCCGGGGACTCACAGGTGAAGCTCCCCAGGTAATAAGATTAAATGTAAAAGAACATCTATAAAATAGAAAGGCCTTGGGGAGGAAATGAATATTTAAGATGAGAAAAAGAGTTCTTGGGTGAAACAAATATGCCCAGAAATATATATTTTTAAAATTGTTTTCCCAGAGGAATAAATAAAGAGCACCTGGCAATAAACACAGTGTTTTAATAAGGAAAACAGAGAACAAAAAACAGGTCCTGGAAACTAGAATTTTGACAGTTGAAATAAAAAATTCAATAGATGGCTGGCTGTAAGTTATACAGTTTAAGAAATCTTTCAGAAACAAACAAACAAAAAAGCCCAGAGACTTTTTTTTTTAAATGTAGAGAAAAGATAGGAGACATACTCAGTACATGACCATTGGATTTCCAGGATAATTGGAATTCCAGAAGATAAAATAAAATGTGGGGAGGAGAATGTTACATAGAAATTATACAAATAGTAATAAAATAAATTTTCCCAGAATTGAAGGATGCAAGTATCTAGATTGAAAGGGTCCATCATGTACCCAGCACAATGAGGAAAAACAAGATAAACAGGCACATTTTCATCCAATTCTAGTATATCAGAGAAAAGAAGATTAAAAAGAGCCTCAAGGAGAATGAGGAGATAGGTTTTGAATAAAAGAATGAGGTTCACAGTTGCATTATGCTTCTGAATAGCAACATTGGATGTAACTCTGGTATGAAACCAATTAGGTAGTTACTATCTTTTCCCTTCCCCTCTGATAAAGCAAACAAAGCGACAAGAAAACAAAGATCAAAAAAATATTGCCCCACTTTTTCAGCAAATAAAGTGATAGACAGTATCAGCAGAACCCAAAAGACATTAATTAAAATTAAACAGAAAATGCAAAGAGAACATCTACAGGCCTCATGAGTGGCAGATCTCAGAAAGTTACCAGCAAAACTATACCTCCTGAAAACGAGGAACTCATCCAGAAATGTAAAATCTATACCCTATAAAGCTAAAGTAACAACAGTGGGGAGAGGTAGGCGGAGCTTCAGCAGGAGTCATGAGGTTGGGATGTAGAGACAAAAGGCACAGAGAGAATCTAGGGGGCTCCTAGCAGCAGATCTCAGACAGATGCAACAAAATCATACTCCCTGAAGGTGAAGGGCTCATCCGGAAGGGCAGGGGCTCTGTCCTCTGTTTGCTGCTGTCAGTGAAGGACCTGGGGATGCAGGGCTGGTGACAGAAATCCTTCCACACTCAGGGCACAGAACCAGAGTGAGCAGGGCTACACAAAAAATGTCTCAGAGGATTCATACCAGCCAGAATCAGCGGTCTCTGTCAAGTAAGGCGAGATTTGAAAGGTTTGAAGTCTAGAAAGGAACCCTGGTCCCTACCACCATTCATGAACCCATGTGAAAATAGGTGGATCAGGAAAAACCATGTCATTAAAAAATCTGTTCACGAAAGGCTATGGCACAGCATCAGTAGAAGATTTTTCTAAGTAATAATGTGACAAAGAGCTGCAAAACTGACAAATGCATGAAAGACATTCACAGAAAAAAGCTGTCACAGAACAGATGAAAAGGACACCACGGAGTAAAAATCTTAACAGAACAACATTTCCATGGAGAAGACCACAGAACAGATATTCAGAAACTCATCTATAAGCTTTTACTTGGCTACTTTTGCTGTACCACCTTTATACTGAGCATGTCCTTTCCCTTTAGAGAACAAAAAAATATGCATCAGTTTATTTTTCTTTAAAGCTTCAATTTTAACTCTTTACTCCACCTTTAATTTTTTTTCCCTGGAATTTGGTTTGAGGTAGGAATTTACTTAAAGCTTTTCCATACACTAGTTTTATTTTGGGGTGGGAAATGTGTATTTCCAAACAAAACATACTTCATGCTTATCTGGCTGCTAGAAATTCTCTAGCTTGATGCATCGTGGATACTTAAGGTGGAATCTACAGGCAGCTGCTTCAGCAAGCTAGCTGCTCTGTCAGGAGAGCCCGCGATGTCACAGATGTCTCCCAGGCTGTCACTGCACATGTCTGTCTGCGCTCACTGCCAGGGAGGCTGCAGATTCTCCAACAAAATCCAGTGTTAGATGTAGAACTGGAGGTGCTCCACTGCAGACACCTATAGTATATATAAAAGCAAAATTTTAAAAACAGGGCAAATTAATGGCATTGTTTTATAATACGTTTAATAGTTGTATGTTATTTTTCTATCTACTCCATTTTTTTGTTTAAAAATACAAATGGTTAATAACCATTATTCATGATTGTGAGTTAGGAATTGCATATTTTATTCAGAGGAATTCCAGCATTGCAAACAAAGTATTTTACATTTATTTTTGTCTCAAGTGACTTTAAAAGAAATAAGGGAAGTAGAATGAACCCCCCTATTCACATACTGAACAATCATCATTGAAAAATTATCAATGACAGACAATTCTGTCTGTCATTCTTCAGGTAACATATATTACTTGTTAAGTGTCTGAAAATTTTCCAAGCCTACCTTACCCCATTCAAAACTCAGAAAAAACACGATGAACTAACTAGGTCAGTGGCAAAATTAGTGTAAAGCTAATAAAGTTTACTTGCATGGATGCCTTTTTGAAAGGGGGCCCTAGAAACATCTTCACATTTATGTTTTAATTTTCAAAAATTAGACATTTCAACAGTAATTTGTTAAGACCACTGTCTCCTGCCATTCCAACTGCCCCTTGTTTATACTTTCTTCTTCTAGTGTAAACATGGAGTGGCAGGAGGCATTTCTGAGATTTTGTTCGGATTTACTGGGATATAATTTTTTGCTTTGCAATGTCTTCTATGTATAATTACGGTATTGCTGACCATCTCAATTTGGGATGTATTCTAGAAATACTTTGAAGGTGGTCAATTCAAAGAATATTTAAGAGCACTCACTCCACAGGAAATTTAAAATGCCCTGAAATCTTATAGCTCAGATATCAAAGTAACTCAATGGGTTTCCTCAAATTTGACAATTGTAAAAGTGACACTGTATTATTAGTAAAGAGTTGAGAATTTGAAAGAACCCTCTGTAAAATGTCAAAAAATAAAAAGCAAATTTCCATGAACTATATTAGAAGACACTCCAAATTAGCTTCCTGATCCTCCTATAGAAAAGGATATAACAAAGTTGTCAAATGAACAGAAAATCAACATGCCTGCTTTTGTTGGTCTAAATAAATATTTCAAATTGTACTAATAGTGTATTCATGATTTTGTGGGTTTGTTTCCTACACAGAGCTTGCCAAATTCAATAAGCAACAGGACGTATAAAACCTACAACCATATATGAGGTTATTATATTATCCTTTGAAAGATGAGTAAATTGAAGTTCAGAGAGATCAATCAATTCTCCAAGGTCACATAGATATTAAAGGGTGGAACATAATTTAAAATCACATTTTCAATCCCTAAAATATTGGGTAGTAAATATAAAGAACCATACAATAGTGTTGGTTACCCATTTTTGACAAACTATGGCAACACTTAACCTCTTGAAACTTCAGTTCGGTATATACGAGAGATAGTGATAGAGAGAGAGAGAGAGAGAGAACAAAAGAGAGAGATCCTACTAGATCATCTTTAAGTTGTCCCTTCAAAACTAGGCTCATGGCAGCTACCTGGAATGCAGTACAGGGTGTAGGGCACAGTCTATCATAGGGCAGTAAGACGAGGACGAGGATTGCTAGGCTTCTTGACATAGTAAAACCTGTAGAAATGTGATGATTTGTAATATATACTGCTTTGTGAATAATGACTCTAGGAAAATCCCTCACCCTCATGAAATATATAGGGGCAAATACGTATAATTACACATAGGTTTCTGTTGAGCTAACCAACCTAGAAGAGAAAAAAATGTAGCAGTATGCTACTTACTGGGCAGTGCTGTATCTGACTAACTCATTAAGCATGTCCAAGTTAAAATTTTTTTAATTAAATTTTTCTTCTGAGATAATTCTAGATTCACATGCATTGTTCTTAAGTTTCCCCTTGGTGAATCTTGCAATACTATAATGCCATGTGTCAACAAGGACACTGACAGTTATACAGTCAAGATGCAGAACATTTCTATCACAATGACCTTAACGTTGCCCTTTTATAGTCACACTTCCTTAACCTTCCTTCCATCCACTTCCTTAACCCCTGGCAACCACTAATCTGTTCTCTATTTTAAAATTTTTGCCCTTTCAAGAATATTACAGAAATGGAATCATACGATATGTGATTGTCTGCAATTGACCTTTCTACTCAGGACAATTTCCTAGAGGTTCATTTAACTTGTTTTAAATATCAATAGTTTCTTCCTTTTTATTGCTGAGTGGTATTCTATGCTATAGATGGACCACAGCATCTTTGTGCATGTGGATGTTCAGTTGTTCTAGCACCACTTGTTGAAAAAACTTTCCTTTCTCTATTGAATTGCTTTTGTGCCTATGGCAAAGATCAGTTGATTTTATGTCCGTGGGTCTATTTCTGGGCTCTATTTGATTTCAATAATCTACTTGTATACTCTTTTGCCAATACCAGACTATCTGGATTGTCACTTTATAGTAAATCTTGAAGTCGGGTAGTCAATCCTTTGATTTTGCTCTTTTTCTTCCATACTGCGTTGGTTATTCTGGGCCTTTGCTTTTCCATCGAGTTAACCAATCTAGAAGAGGAAAAAAATATAGCAGTATACTACTTACTGGGCAGAGCTGTATCTGGCTAACTCATAAGAATGTCAAGATTAAATTTTTTTTTAATTACATTTTTCTTTTTAGAAAAATTTCTTCTTTTTCTTTTACAGAGTGTTTGTTGATATCCACAAGTACTTGCTGGGATTTTGATTGGGGATGCATTGACTCTATAAATCAAGTTAGAAGAACTAACATCTTAACAATATTGAGCCTTACTATCCATGATACTAGAGTCTCTCTCCATTTATTTAGATCTTTGATTTCTTTCATCACTTTCCCTCATACAGATCTTATATTTTGTTAGATTTATACCTAAGTATTTCTTGTAGACAACATATACTTGGATCTTGTTTTATTTCTGTGACAATCTCTGAATTGGTATATTTCGACCATTCACATTTAAAGTGATTATTGGTATAGACAGATTAATATATACTACATTTAAAACTTTCCTGTATGTTATCTTGTTCTTTCTTTTGTTTTTTTAACCTTCCACTATTTTCCTGTGTTCTTTGGTTTTAATTGAGCATTTTACATGATTCTATTTTATCTCCTCTTAGCATATCAATTATACTTCTTTTAAAAAAATATTTCAGTGGTTCCTCTAGCGTTTGCAAGTTTGCAACATACACTTACAATTCATCTAAGTACACTTTCAAATAACACTATACTGCTTCATGTTTACCCTTATTTTTAATTTTATTTTAGTTTTTAAAATTTTATTGGGAAGCAGCCATTGTGTTACACATTGCTTTTCATGCCACAATGGCAGAGCTGACTCTTTTTAGGGAGAGTGCAGCTTCCAGTGGTTCATGCAGGGATTAAACCAGCAACCTTGGTGTTATCAGCATCACAACTCTAACCAATGAGCTAACGGGTCACCCTCTACCCTTATTTTTACTTACTGTATTTTCTCCCTTCGTGATGTTCCAAGATTCCTCCTTTAATGGTTTCATTTGTTTACATAATATCCATTAGCCATTCTTTTGGCATAAGTGTGTCGATGACAAATTTCCTTAGTTTTCCTTCATGTGAGAATGTTTTGATTTCTCCTTCACTCCTGAAGGATATTTTCCCTAGATATATATGTAATATTTTGTGCTGACAGTTCTTTGAGCACTTGAAAAATATTGCACCACTTTTTTTCTGGCCTCTGCTGTCATTCCAATTATTTCCCCCTATATGTAAGGTGTCTTTTTTCCTCAATGCTTTCAAGATTTTTCTTTGACTTAAGTTTTCAGAAGTTTGACTCTGATATATGTTGGATTTCTTTAGATTTACCACATTTAAAGTTTACTCAGCTTCATGAATTGAGGTTTGTTTTGTTCAGTATGGGACATTTTTGGAGAATATTTCTTCAAATACTTTTTCAGCCCTGCCCTCTCTCCACTCCTTCTGGCTCTGACAACATGATTATTAGATGCTTTTTATATTCCCATAGGTCCCTGTGGCTGGGTCCTATTTTTTTCAGTCTATTTTCTCTCTGCTGTTCAGACTGTATCATTTGTATCATTCTATCTTCAAATTCAGGGATTCTTTCCTGTCCCCTTCATTCTTCTGTTAAACCAATCCATTGACGTTTTAAAATTTAGGTTACTGTATTTTTCAATTCTAAATGTTCATTTGGTTCTTTATGTCTTTGTTTCTTTGATGAGACGTCCTATTTCTGTGCTGACATTCCATATTCTCATTTGTTTCAAGCCTGTTCTTAATTGCTTGTTCAAACATTTACTATGGCTGCTTAAAAATCTGTCAGATAATTCTAACATCTCTGGTAACTCAGTGTTGGCATCTATTGATTGTCTTCTTTTCATTCAAGATATTCCCTATCTTGTTTTTTTGTTATTGTGATTTTGTTATTCAATCTTAGACATATTGGTTATTATGGGCCTCTAGTTGTTAAACTTTCTTCTTTAGATGGTTTCCTCAGACACCACTTTAGGGGCAAACATGGGGGTGTTTCTGCCTTGTTACTCACAGGTAGTGAAGAAGTCCAGGCTCCCTGGTTAGCTTTTGTTAACACTAGCTTATAAAGAGGTACCCCTGACCCTGAATCCCATCCCCACTGGTGTCAGTGGAGGCCTAGTGTAGTCATGACTTTCACCTTTGCCCAGCATTAAGGAGCCCCTCCATTTACATTCAAATTGTGATTTTACTTCTAAACTCTGTTTCTTGAAGACAGATATAGTTGGGTCTTGCTATTCCCTCATTTTGGTAATCTCTGCATTAATTAGTATGATTACATGAAATACATTAGTATTTCATGTAATTATTGCTATGGCTATGTTTATATCAACAGCTGTATTAGTATTATTTGTCCTCTGTTTTTTGTTCTTCTATACCTTTTCCTGCCTTTTAAAAAACATGAACATTTAAAAAAATTCCATTTTATTCTTTTTTAGTTATACCTCTTTACATTTTCAAAATTGTTCTAAGAAAAACATTCATTCTTAACTTCCTTTCTACTTAGTTAACACTGTACCACTTCATATAATACACAGAAACCTTGCAACCATATACTTCCCTATACCAACCCCCTTTTATGCTCTAGTTGTCAGTGTCTAATACTATGACAAAACAATGTTATAACTTTTACTTTATTTTAAAGAAATTAACAAGAAAAAAATGGTCTTTTGTATTTCCCTATTTACCATTTCTCGTGCTTTTCAGTCAAATTTGCACCACTTCTCAAAACTAACTGAACCTGAAGATGACAAAAGTCATTTTCCCCTTACATGGGTGAACACATAAACTTCATATTAAGACTGATCCTGACCTTTCTCATTAACTCATGAAAATTTTAAAAAAATATCATTTGGCACCAAAGTGCTTGTAAACTAAAACACAAATGTAAGCAATGAAGCTAGTGGCAGTACTGATTATAAGGTAAGTTGGTTGTAAGATATCTGTGTTTGTTTTTCATATTACCAATTGCAATTAAAAAAAAACTATTAAAATTCTTGTTGAAAACTATCTGTCCAAGCCATGAAAATCTCTACAATATTAAATAAAACAGGAGATATTTTCAACTCATTTTAAGTGTACCTTAGTATGTCTTCAAAGTAAACATGAAATGTTAGTATTTCTGAAATTAAAAACTAAAGAGTATCTCATTTCCCTTAGAAGTCCACTGCGAAGACGGAATATTTGGAGACGTAAACAATTCATAAAAATGAATTGACATGCAGGAAACTTCAAATACTAAGCAAACATTTATTGAGCCTCTACTATGATCTAGGAACTAATAACCAGGGTTATAGACTCCTTTTAAGAAACTCACTATCTAGTAGGGAGAAAGGCAAAAAACTGAACTCTTATTATGAGGAAACCAGAAAGGATGAACTTTACTATTTTGCAGAAAGTGGGAACCAGTTCAGGATTTTCAACAGAGGAGAAATATGGTAAACCTCATAGAGTGGCTAACCCACCATCTATTCCCCTTTCTACCTATCTACCTTTACTATAGAAGTTAGAAAAACTAAAAGCTCTCATTCCAAGCCTCCCTTGCAGTTAGGGATGGGCATTTTGACACAGTTTGGGCCACTGAGGTCTAACTCTACTTGAAAATGCTTCTTGCAAAGCTTTTGCTTTCCTGATGAATATCCAGGGCTTTCTCTACCTCTTTCCTTCTTGCCTTAAATCTTGCATGTGTAAAATTGTGCCAGCCATCGTGTAATAGTAAAGGAAAGACCAAAAGCATCCCAGATAACACAGCAATGACACCACTGAGCTACACAAGCAAAGCTTGCAGCCATCTCCAGATTTGTTATTCAAGATTATAAATCCGTTTAAGTGATTTCAGTTGGGTTTTCTATTATCTCAGTCTGAATGTCTTCCTGTCTTCCTAATAAAAGTTATCAGAATAAATTTGTATTTTTAGAATGGCCATTCTGAATTAGTATCTGGGCGGATGGATTAAGAAGGGGCAAGAATGACGGTAGGGAGACTTGTTAGGAAGTTATTATGATACTCTAAGCAACAAAAAACAAGGGCCTGAAATAAGTAAACAGCAGTGGGTATAGTGAGGAAAATGTACATTACAGAGATATTTAAAAGGTGAAAGAAATAGAGCAAAAAGATGAAGGAAAGGTTTCAAATGTCTTCTAAGTTTCTAATTTGAGCAATAAGGCTCAAAGTTTGTGCCATTCTCCAAAACAGATACTCCTGTATGTAGGGGGATTCACAAGTTCTGCTTTGGCCAAGCTCAAGTTTGAGATACCTTTGAGACAACGACAAGAAAATTATGAGAAGGCAATGACTGGATCTTGAAGTCAAAAGTGAGATCTGGACTGGAAAAACTCAAACTTGAGATATTTACATGATGTCCTACGGGAGACTAGCTCCCACAAATCCAGGGATTCCCTCAGGTGGAAACGGCCGAGGAAAGCGCGGAGACACAGGAGCGCTTTCAAGAATTAATGTCTCACTTTATTTTTACAGCATGTCCTTTTTATACTGGGCAGGTAACTGTTTACATCATTGAGCTGTTTTTCCCAAAGTTGTTTTTCCAAGTTTAAACCTTCACCCATTAGGAAATTGTTTTCTACATAGTTCCAATGTTCCTTCCTTCCCAGGGTCTATTTTCCTTATAAGTTTTTCTCAGAATTTTACTTCTTCACGATGTTTCTATTACAGGGTCCAGCAGGGATCTGTTCTTCACTAAAGACTAACTTATCCTAACTATGTTTCAATTTCTTCCATAATGGCCAGAGCTGAGTTCCTGCCTTGGCACTTAAAGGGTGTTTTACTACTTAGCAACTGTTTCAAACACTACTGGCTAAACAGGATCTTAAGAATTATAAGGTGCATAACTTGTCTATCACTAAGAATCTATCACTAAGAAACTAACAGTAAAACACAATTATTGTAATATGTCCAAAACACACTTATTTGGTTAAAGTAAATAATATAAGAAGGGGTGTCAGATTTTTATCCTACTGGGGGCATCCAAAGGGGAATTTAAATCTTCTAAGATATAAAGCAGTATCTGTTTCTCAGCCAGAGTTTCAGGATTTGTCACAATAGCAGTGTGATAGGCCATGTCAGACACTGAGGTGCAGCCGGCTCCCAACAATGTCCAATAGAACTACAGTAGACCCTTGAACAACACAGAGGTTAAGAGTGTTGACCCCAAGCACCAAAGAAATGCGCATATAACTTTTGACCCCGTAAAACTTAACTATTAATAGCCTACTGTTGACTGGAAGCCTTACTGATAACAAACAATTAACATATATTTTGTATATGTATGATATACTGTATTCTCACAATAAAGAAAGCTAGAGAAAATAAAATGTTATTAAGCAAGTCATAGGGAAGAGAAAATACATTCATAGTAATTACTGAAAAAAATCCACATACAAGTGGATCCATGCAGTTCAAACCCATGTTGTTAAAGGGTCAACTTTATAATATAAGCCACATAGGTAATCCCAAAGTAAGAATAAATAAAGTAAATTTTAATATTTTATTTAACTCAATATATCCAAAATATAATTTCAACATATTATGTACTTATTAATATAATTTACATGCTAAGTCTTTAAAATCTGATGTGTATTTAACACCTAAAGCACATCTCAATTTGTCTGAATGCTTTCTTTATCACAAATGCTTGACTTGTATAAAATTTCATAAAAATTAGTTAAAAAGTGGATTCAAGGCTGGCCGAGTGGCGCGGTGAGGAGTTGGCTTGGGACGCCAGCTCTGAGCAGCAGGGCCCTGGTTCGGATCCCACATGAGCGTCAGTGATGCTGCGCCCTCTACAGCTAAGATGGTGAACAACAGCTCGACCTGGAGCTGGGCTGCCGTGATTCGCTGGTGACAGTGTAGGCTGCAGTGGGGCTGGCTGACAGCAGACGTGAGCTTTTGTGAGCCGCGACCATTCAATGGCCAGTGAAGCAATATCCTCCACAACTAGACTGAAGAACAAAGGGACAGCAACTTGTCTGTTCCCCTTCCCTGATTCCCCAACGCTGTTCCCCTCCCCCAATTCCCCAATCTTTCTAAAAAAATATTTTTATTGGGGAATTGGGGGAGGGGAACAGCTTTGGGGAATTGGGGGAAGGGGAACAGACAAGTTGCTCTCCCTTTGTTCTTCAGTCTAGTTGTGGAGGATATTGCTTCACTGGCCCAAGTTGGCACCATCATTGCACTCCTCCCGGGTAAGGCAGATCAATCGCCAGCTGCTGGCCGCTCACGCTGGCTGCTGGTTACACAAGGTAGCCCATGGCAATCCACTGCCACAGGGACTGCAGCCCACACCATCACCGGCAACTCACGGCAGCCCAGCTCCAGGTTGAGCTGTTGTTCAGCATCTTAGCTGTGGAGGGCAGTGTCACTGGCCCTCATATGTGGGATCCGAACCGGGGCTCTCTCGCATCTTAAGCCAGCTCTTAAACAATGCGCCAGTCTCTTAACCAATGCACCAGTCGGCTGGTCCCCCAATAACATCTTTAAAAAAAAAAAGTGGATTCATATACGCAAATTGGTCCAAGTTAAGTTTTCCAATAATTGAAAGTCATTTTCCTTTATTTACATCCACACTGAAAAGAGTCCCATTCATATTTTTTAAAATAATTGACTTGCCTTCTGAGCAAAAAGCATATCAGTTCATTTGTCCAAGTTAATTCAATAAATCTTGTGAGAGCTCAGTATTGTTAACACTGAATTCAGTTACTGAGTAAATTGAAAAGCAACTCTAAATTTATCAATAAATTAAATATTTTTTGTTTTTCTTGTAGTTTTGTAGTACATTTGCATAACATGGTCAAAAACAGTTAAAATTTTGTGCATTGTGATTTGCATCAGAAAGATGTGTAAAACTATTAATTTTTATTTTTAGAAGTTTCTATTTCAAAATAAATTCGAGTACTTGTCTGGGTACGGCACAAATTGGCTTCCTCCTTTCCTTCGAGTTTCAAATGTAGTCATTCATATGCCATGTGATACTGGGGAGAAAACAAACTACCATTTTCTCTTTGTTAAATATTTGGCTAGCATTTCTGTTGTAAGAAAATCTTGAACTGGTGTTAATAGTGCAGGAAATTTTGTAGAACATGTCCACAATTCAACTAACACAGTACACAAGATCACTAAATTCATTGTCTTTAATTTTTAAGCAATCCTATGAACTGATGTTGACTCATAGCATTTGCAGTAATAAAATGGACACTTAATACCTATAACCATGACACTTGTCAGAGACCATTTAAAAAAACTAATCACAAATATTTTCAAACTGTATTATATAGTGGAACAAAGAAATTAGGGAAACATCAGGCTCACTTAAAAATTTCAATGAAATCTGACTTTTGACCTCATCTAGCTGGAGCACCATTTATTGTGATGGAAAATAATTTATTCTCATCTAGCTAAAACTCTTCTGACAAATGTAAAAGATTTAATAATAGCTACAGAAGTTTGATTTTTTAGGCTATGAATCAAAATTATTGCTTCATAAACTTTTAAGTCCTATGACATAAAATGTACTCCAAGTATTGGGTGGTGTCTCTTCTATTACATAACTCATCTAAAACTAAAGAAAAGTACTTGCAATTTTTCACATTTGAATCAGTTAATCTTTAATGTTGTTAGTTCCTGTACTCTACAATCAACATTTGGAGACTTAACTAAAGACTTGATATTTTTAATAAAACATGTTTAGACTTTAACTCATAATTTTCTAATAATTTCTATAACTGAAATAATTTATTCTACTATCTAGCCACCTAAAACTAGTTCTTTTTCATGAAAAAAATCTAAGCTGTTTTATACCTGACCAGACTTATAAATTCGATCCTTTTAAAAATTGTTAAAAAAAAGTTTTTGTTAGACACTTAATTCTGATTTCAGGCAACTAAATTTTGATTCTTTTTTGACCCTTAAAAGATAACTTAATTCATTCATTTTTTATTTGCTGAAACTGTTTCAATATTGTCCACTTATAGTCTTTAATTTTTGTTAAATAACAGCTTGTTTTCCTCTGCCACAGCAAACTGAATTGGTCATTTATCATGAAATCTGCAACATACCTTCTTTTTGTTTACTGTTCCAAGTTGTACTACTAGTAGTTTCTGCCTCTCCAATTGATTCTTTTTCAGTGTTACGTCATTTTAAATTTTAAAATTTGTTCATCTTCATGTCTAAACTAGAAAAATAATTTAATTATAATTAAAATAAGTTATATCAATTACAATTTACATAAATATTACTGCAATTCCAGTTATCTGTATAAAATATTTAAACATGTTAATTAATAGAAAAAAATAATTTGCATTGAATCCATCTGTCAACACCAACTCAATTAGTAATGTTTTTATGTAATACTAGACATTGCACATGAGTTTGACAGGCACACTACAACAATCACATTTTAAATAAGGTAACAAAGTTAAACATATTTCTAAAACAACAAACTTGATTTAAACAAAAATATTTTACACTGCTTTTGTTTTTATATTAAAAATTTACTTTCTTAGTCCTACTGAACTCATTTCAGGTGCTTAATAGCCCCATTAGCCAATGGTTACCATATTAGATAGCGCAGACATAGAACTAATAAAGACAAGAGCCAAAAGGCTTGCAGTTTTTATTCCATTTCTCCATTATTTGATGTTAACTTCCAGGACTCAGAACTTATTTGGGCTATGTTATTTTTTCGCCTCCTTACTAAAACAAAGTAAAAGTGGGCATGGTTGGATTTTCTGTATAGGACTCCTTGGAGTATACAGAGGGTATACAGAGGGTGCCAAAAAAACCCCGAAAAAACTGTATTAAAATTGTAATACTCAATGTATACCGATAACAATAGATGAATACAAGTTATGTGTATAGATTTTTTTGGCTCCCAGTATATTATGGCCCACTCTAGCAGACATGGGCCAATCATCAAAAACCTACTCCTCATGAAAACAATCACTAACTTTATCTTTGGTGAATGCCTTTTAAACAGCGACATGCTGATAAAAGTTTAACAGCTGGCTTTCAAAAAAAATGTACGTATATAAAAGATGTGTAACACAATTTACAAATGCATACATGAATGCATACATAATACTCTTTATTGTAAGTTCCATATAGCCAACTGATTCTCATAGGCTTTTGATGATTTTTGCCTAACTCTTGTACCGTAGCCAACTTATGGTGGCAATTTGACCAGGATTTTACAAATGGAGTTGCATCCCAATCTGCTAATTCTTTCCCCAATAAACTTATAGTCATTAAATCTGATATGTGATCTATTGTTAAACTATTTCTCACTCTTGTAAAAATTATGTTCATTAAATTGAAACCTGTTTCAGCTTCACCACTATTGATTGCAATAGTGCCAACTATCTTTTTAGCTTTTTGTATAGTTGTAGGAATAGAAACATTGTTTGATTTTATATTATTATTTAAAAATTCCCAAAAGTCATTCAAATCAATTTCATATTTTAACATTTCACATAAATGAAATAAATTTTTTTCACCAGCAATCAATGGTGAAGTTATTTCTTCATAAGGCCATGTAGAAGGTTCTAGCAAATCAAAATAATAAAAAACAGTTTCACTGTAGTTTCTGTCAGAAAAAAGACGTAAGTTTATGTGTTGAATTATATTTTCTAGTAACAAATTCCTAGGAAGGGCATTAAATTTATTATTTTTATTAAATGGAATATCTTTAAGCTTATCTGAATCAGACCTTCAATTTGAGACTCATACTTTCCAGTACCAACTTTTAAATTTTCCAAAGCTCTTATGGTGTGTTTAATTAATTTTTGTGCTTTTTGAAGGTTAGTTGATCTTGACTGGAATGAAGTCGAAAGCAGTGAAAAATTTTCAAGAATGTCAATCATTAAAGCAAGGTATTGCAAGAAATTAATGTTAGCTAATCCTTTGCCAAATCAGAATAAAAATGAGAAACATACATATATAAGCAGGATATGCACACCATATAGCAGTAGCAGCTTGTAAAGTACATGCTGCCCATCTCAGTCTCATTACCCTTCCAATTTTAACAATTTCAATTCCAAGATCTTTAGCTACAGGTTCTAAAAGCTTGTTTTGATTTTTACTAGATTGATGATAAATGGAATAAATTTTATCAAGAAACATTTAAAAACGATTAACTTGTTTTATTTCAAATATTGAATCATCGAGTGACAATTGTAATCGATGGTTTAAACAGTTCCAAATAACGATTTCAGAAAAATTTTCTAACATCTTTATAGCTACTCCAGGTTTTCTTCCCAGCATTATATTAGTACCATCAGAACAAAATGCAATTAAATTTGCTTTCAAATATTCATTAGTAATGCCACAGTCATTTAAAGTACTCAACAATGTATTGACAATACACTCCGCTGTGGCTGACACGAGTTCTTTTAAAGCAACAAATAACATAACTGGTGCAAGGCATTGACTGAACTGTGCACTGGAAATAAATCACTAGGGTGTTTTTCTTCAAAACTGGAGATGCCTCATCAATTATGATACAGATTTTGGTATTCTCTTCTATAATATTCTTAAATATCTTCATTTCTTTTGCAATGTGTCCTGCTATTCTTGTACTGTATCGTGTATTTAAACAATTGACCTCTCTATTCTTCTCTTGTAATTCTATTGCCCCCTCAATATCAGATAATGGTCTGTTATGTTTTACTGAACTGTAAACAGTATTGAAAACTTTTACAGTAGCATCAATATTTTTATTATTTTGTTTATGCCGTATATTAGAAATTGAGTTAACTGATTTCTTTAACAAATCCTGAATTTTACCATGAGCTTTAGAAACATCATGTTCCCTAATTTTTATTTGCAGAGAAGCTTGTCTAGTAGTTTTATTACTGCTATTAGGGGTTACTAAATATGCAATCCATTCCTTGGATACATGAACATGCTTTTCTGCTTTCGATCCCAATGCTGAACTGTTGAGCAATCCTTACATCCTAATTTACCTTCTTTTATTTCAAGCCATTTGTACTGTTTTGTAAACATAAACACTTGTTTTTCATTCCAACAATCTTCCTTTGATGAACTTGATGGCTTTTCTTCAATGACTGGTTTTTCAACATATTAGAAATCTGATTCCTTTGACTTAGGCAATCCACAATGATTTTTGTTCCTGTTATTACTTTCTGTGTCTGTTTTTATCTTCTTCACATTTAAAAAATGCAAAAAAGTCACCCTGTCGTTTTAGCATCTTAGGGAATAGACTCTAAAAAATAATTTTACAAATGAAAGTAAAATTCATGTTAACACTCTAAAGATTAATGCAAAAAGTTGTTCACAATTTCTTTCTATAATTTTTGAAATTTAAACTGAAATACTTAACCTTGATTTTTAGTTTATACTTATAACTTCAATACAACTTACTATTTTTGAATAATCCACTATCAGTTTTTAAAATTCTACAGCCAATATAATGTCACAAAATCTGACTATGTTTATCATCCAATTCAACAAGTTGCTCATATGATTTACAAATGAGTATAGTTCCAATGTGAAGAGTAGTTGATATTTTCATTAACGTTAATAAGATGAAAGTGAAAAAGATGACGATGTATATCAGAACTCCACTCATTCATCAATGACAACATCAACATTGTCATTTAATCAATCAAGAGTTTTCAAATATTTCAAGATTTCCTCAATTTTTCGTATAGCATACAGTCTAGCAGAGATGTAACACATTTTTAGGCTTAATCTGCATTAACATTTTATCCATCACTTTAAGTTTAGACAATAATAAATCAAGCCCTGATTTCTAGTTTGCTGCTAACCTTGGTGTAAATACTCCTATCATGCTGCAGGAGCACACTGTTATACAGTATTTCTACCATACAGATACAATAGATGTAAATAACCTCAAGTGTATAGATATTAGGATATGATGAGTTTTGAGTATTTATTACCTTAAATGTAATGATAATTTATTTACATGTAAGTTTATATACTTAATTCTTTTTTTTTTTTTTAAGATT